GGGTGATGGGTATTGAGGAGGGCACCTGTGGGGATGAGCACTGGGTGATATATGGAAACCAATTTGACAATAAGTTTCATATATTAAAAAAATAAAAATAAAAAAATAAGTGTGGCTACATTTGTTCTTTCTTTTTTTTTTTTTTCAACGTTTATTTAATTTTGGGACAGAGAGAGACAGAGCATGAACGGGGGAGGGGCAGAGAGAGAGGGAGACACAGAATCGGAAACAGGTTCCAGGCTCTGAGCCATCAGCCCAGAGCCCGACGCGGGGCTCGAACTCCCGGACCGCGAGATCGTGACCTGGCTGAAGTCGGACGCTTAACCGACTGCGCCACCCAGGCGCCCCTACATTTGTTCTTTCAACAAACATTTATTGAACGCCCACTATGTGTTAGGTTCTGTTCTAGGCAGGCTCTCAGAGTTGTCTGAAATGAGGGTTAGGGAAATGGGCTGTCATGTTCCCACATGTCCAGTTAAAGCTATGGGCTGTCCCTGGGATTCAGGGGGCTTAAAGCCCCAGACACTTAGGGCTCTTGGGGAATGGAATCAAAACAGACGTAGTGACCTGAGGACAGGTACCAGCCATTGGAAGCCAAAGCACAAGTCCAAGAGAGAGAGATGCCCAGAAACAGTAAAAGGGATCTCAGGGGTCTGAACAGAGCACTGAAATGTTATCTGAGTCTCATTCCCCAAACTATTATAATGCAGTGTCCTTGTACCATATGCCCGATTTAATGTTTTTCTTTAAATTAACTTAATTTTTATCTAAATAGAAAATTAGTGGATAAGATTTAGGAAAAAAAAAAAAAAGGCAAATGGAAGATGTAGGAAGAACCGTGACTCAAAAGGGAGTGCTGCACAGAGTGCGGGGGCAGAGATTAGGGTACCAAGGGCAGTGGGACATGGCCCTAGAACTGGCAAGCCTGGCCCCATGAGGCCAAGGACAGGAGCAGGTAGGAAGATAGAGGGTGAGGTCAGCCTGGCCTGCAGACTCTGGTAGAGCTCTGGGGTGGAGCTCCAGTGTGGGGGAGGACAGTTGGACCAGAAGCTGGGGGATGGGGGCAAGAATGCTGGTGGGGGGGAGAAAGAGGCTGCCCTTGACAAAGGAACACAGTATGAAATGGGTGACTGGGAGGAGGCAGGGGAGGATGAGTGTCCCAGCTAGAGGGAACAGTAGCTCGATTTCAGGCTGAGCGGCCAGGGAGAGCATACCTGGGGGAAAGTTCACAGTGGTTGGGGTTGAAGGCTCTGGTGTGTAGGGCTCATGTCAAGCAGAGCCTTGTAACTCAGGAGAGGTATCAGGGATTTCTTTACTCTGAGGGCTGTGGGAATGACATATTCAGATATGTCTTTAGAAGGTTCCTACTGGGGCACCTGGGTGGCTCAGTCGGTTAAGCGTCTGACTTCAGCTCAGGTCATGATCTCGCAGTTCATGAGTTCGAGCCCCGCATCCAGCTCTGTGCTGACAGATCAGAGCCTGGAGCCTGCTTCCAATTCTGTGTCTCCCTCTCTCTCTGCCCCTCCCCTACTTGTACTCTGTCTCTCTCTCTCAAAAAGAAATAAAACATTTAAAAAATTAAAAAAAAAATCCTACTAACAGATTGGGTCAGAGGCAGTGCAAGAGGCAGGGAAAACCCACAGAAGATGTGTTAATCAAGAGAGGAGATGATGGGATGCTCTCTGGACTTGCCATTCCCAGCCTGGCTGGCCCTACTCTTTGCCTTTGAATCTCTGCTGTCTAGGCTCTGTGCTTTGTCAGCTTTCTGTCTTCTCTGTGGGCATCTCAATCTTGAGTTTTGTGTCTGTTACTTAGTTTCTATCTCAGTGTCAGCTTTTCTGGTCTTTCTTGGATTCTAGCTGCACATGCTGCTGGCTCAGGGCAGCAAGTCTCCTGCTGGGAAAGGAGTAGAAGAAGTGGGATCTGGGCAGAGATTCCTGGCGGTCAGTTAAGTGGATACAAACCTGAGTCTGCTCACAAGTGTCTCTGCCTAGATGTGGTTCCTTGGGACCTAGGACCTTGGGACCTAGATGTGGGTGGCAGTTCTCCCCTACAGTGGACCAGCCCAGAGTCTGATCAGCTCCAAAAAAGGCGTATTCTAGCTATGCAGGACAGGCTGCACTCACAGAGGTCGTTTATTTATTCTTCAGGTATGTTTTTGGATGCCTTCAGTGTGCCAGGCTTGGGCGAAAGGCAGTAGACATAGTGCCCTCAAGAGACTCATGGCCTGATGGAAGACGCAGAGGAAAATCAGGATGGCACAGAATAGAACTGATTTATTTTCCTGGTAGTCCAGGAGTCCCCACAGAGGATATGATGCTGGCAAAAGCATCTTCGAGCCCACAGTGTCCCAGTTAAGAGGACTTTTCCAACCACGGCGTCCACAGAGAAAGCTCCATCTGAGGAATAGTGGGACATCGTGACGGAGGAAGAGATTGGGGTTTTGAGAGCCAGGTTGAGTTTGGACTTCAACTTGTGGGTAATCTGGCACTATTGATACTTCTTGAGCAAGGAACAGGTAGCATTTAAGAAACTTGTTCAGATCTGTGAGTTGAAGTGGAAAACAATTCAAGCCAGGCTAAGCAACAACGAGGACTATATTGGCTTGTGTAACCAAACAAGGGTCACATGCCTGGGCTGCAGTGGTCTGGGAACAGCACCTCTGACTCAAGGATGTGGAGGCCCCAGGGGGAACTTACGAACTTCCTATGAGCTGGAGGATCCAGGTATAGTTAGGGAAGCCAGAGGGCTTCTTTATGCCCAAGACGCCCTGTCTTGTCTTTCCCATGCAGGTTGCCCAGGACATCATTCCTGAGGGCGCCCCAAAAGCTCATCTTTTTGTCCTTAACATCCATGCTGCTCCCACAACATCCTGATTCTTCTTTTCCAAGACTCCTGCTCCCTCATCACACATAGATTCCTCCAACCAAATGCCTATGTCCACTGACACCTGGCATCCTGGCCATCTTTGTCCTCTGCTGTCATCCCCAGGGATGCTTTCCATCTGTCCCCGTGTGGGACCTGTGCAAAGCATCCTTGCCATCTATAGACACTACTGCCAAGAATAAGGCCCCCAGATGAGCCAGTGGTCCAGCAGGTGCAGCCTGCCCCCTGGTGGCCCCCATGTTGTGAGGTCCTTTTCATGTGCCAATTGGATATGGAAGTTGGACTCACTGCCTGCCTGCTCCCTGATGAATAATGTAGGGCCCAAGGGCGGGCTGCTCCAGAATGTGCCACGTTGGCATATTGATTAATTAATTAATTTATTTATTTTAGAGAGAGCAAGAGAGCGTGTGAGATGGTGAGAGGGGCAGAGGGAGAGAGAGAGAATCTTAAGCAGTCTCCTCAGGTACCCAAGGCTTGATCCCATGACCCTGGGATCATGACCTGAGCCGAAATCAAGAGTTGGACACTCCACTTACTGAGCCCCCCAGGCACCCCTGGCATAGTTATTATTTTAAATAAAAGTTACCTGAAAGCCAGCCTGTGCGAGAAGGACACTCAGACCCTCTGTCCCCCCTGAAATCAGGAAAGAAATCTCCTGGGTGAAAGGTACCCTACCTGTACCAGGAGGTAAAGAGACATCCTTCTCACCAGAGATGGGAATTTTAGAGCTCAGAACAAGCCTTGTTACTTTTACTAAGTTACTACTCCGACCCAAAGTTTTTTCTTTGTCTGGTCAATTCCTCACAAATGTATTATCTCTTTGTCTAAAAAAGTATAAAGACCCTGCTTTGGTCCTTTCTTTGGGTCTCCATTTCGTTATGGGGCCTTCATCTACCCATAAGAAAACCTTGGTTTTTTTTTTTTTTCCCACCCGTTAATCTGTCTCGTGTCAATTTAATTTCTCGTGCAGCTGGAAGAACCTTGGGCCAGGGGAAAATCTCTCCCTTCTCTTCAGTACCGCAGCCAGAGTGGGCTCGCTCCTGTCCCCTGCCTCACCGAGCTGTCGTGGGCCGCACTCCTGTTCAGTTTCCCCCAGGGTATTAACAGAAAAGAGCTCAGGAACGTGAGGGGCCATGTGCTTGTCTAGGGCAGAGCGGGCAGGGGAAACTAGCATTGGGCCCCACTTGGCAGCCAGTCTTCTTGGTTAGAGGAATGAAGCGGCATTGGTGACGCTGGCCACAGGCGCTAAAGAATAGGCCAGCGAGCTGGGGTCCGGAACACTGAGAAGAGGACCCTAGGCAAAAAGTAGGTGGTTAGGAAGTGTTCGGGGAATTCGAAAACAAGACACGTCCTGGCCTGAGACAGACTCTCGGGCCTGTGAGGCTGAGTTGGTGCATCTTCAGGGCACCCAGAAATCCGAGAAGCCTTTGCGGAGGAGGACATCCTAGCCACTTTCCTTCTACTTCCCAAATCCCAGACCTGCCCTGCCCAGAGAACTGGGATAGGATAAGGGGACACGGCCCTGTGCTCACATCCTCCCTGGGAGTCCTGGGGGGAGGGAGGGCATGGTCCTACCCTGAAACTCGGTTACCAAGGAATAGCTATTAGAACAGGGTGGGTAAGGCAGCCCTGTGTCCCCTCAGCCCACCGAGGGGAGTGGCTTTGGTTCCTGAAGGGCCAGAGAGTCCCAGAGTCCCAGATTGATTTGGTGACTCTGGAGCCAATGAGCTCCTTGAAGTGGGACCCCACACTTTTAGCACCCCATGGATTGCCCCTTCAATGCTTCTCCTATGTCCCGAGGTACCAGGCATCACCTGCCCAGGCAAGTAGAGCCTGCTCTAGCCTAGCTGATGGCATCTGGCTTCTCTTACCCAGGCTACCCAGGCCCAGGCTTTGGCCCAGCCACAGGTCCCCCCTTGATTCCCTGACTTGTGTTTGCAGTGGCTGAGTTGGAGCCGAAGTAGACAAACCCAGACGTGCCCAAAGTCTGTGGCATGAGATATTTCACAGGCAGGTCTGGTCACAGACACACATTTGGCACACACAGGTACAAACTCATTTGTACACAGGCTCATATACGTGCTGGGACAGAGGGCACACACATGACAAGGTTGTCTCTGCCCAGGCTGCTTTCTTCCACCTTGGCATGCCTGTTTTTTTTTTTTTCTCTCTCTCCCTTGCCTCTGGTTCTCGAAGTCCAGCCCTGCCAAGCCTTACCGTGCCTCTTCAGTTCCCCTTGAACTGTTCAGTTCCCCTCCTACCTTCCTGGTTGTTTTGGCCTGTCCCTCCCGTACGTGATCACAAGTAAAACCAAGGAAACGTCTGCCATTTCTATTTTTCACACAAACTTCCCCAGAGGCCCGGGTGGAGAAGAGGGCTGGGCTTTCTGCTTTGGAACTGGGGGAGAGAATACAGCGTGAAAAAAAGATGTCAGTATGTTAGCCTGTCCTCTGACACAAACAGCCCCACCCCGAGCCACACACACCTTCGTTCCCCCAGCACACTCCCAGGTGCACCTGCTCCACCTTGTCCTTCTACGCAGCCGTCCCACATGCACCGCTGAAGCCCGTTCCCAGATGGGGCTCTCGACCCCAATGAACCACCGGTCCTGCTCTGCTGCCGAGGCGGCCATGGGAGGCACTCCCTGTGCTCCACACCTGAGTGCTAGGCTGGGGACCCTGTCTCCACTGAAGGAGGCCGCAGGCCAGGTTCCTCTCTCTGGGCCTTGCTTTTCAGGTAGATGATGGCCTGTTGGCCCAGAAAGAAAGAGTGCAGGCCAGAAGGGGATGCCTATCCTGGTCTGAGCTTGGAGATGAGACTGAGGAAGTAAAATTTCCAGACATTTTGGAACCATTACAACGATGTTTTAAATGTTCAAAGCAAATTTTTGAGAAATGAAGATACGAGTCACCTAGATTTGGCCAGACCTAGAGAATCCACAGACTTCCTTAACATTGTCTCTGTCTCTAAGTCCCTGGCGGCTCTTGGTGGGAGAGAAGGTGGGTGGGTGTCACCCATCCTGACTGTTTACCTTATGCCAAGCTCTGACTGGGTACCGTGTGTGCTCCTTTGGCTGCAAAGAATGGAGACACTCGTAGGGAAGGACAGGGGTGAGGGTCCCAGAGCAGGGGTCTCTGCCCCATCTAAAGCCTCATGGGAACCTAGCTTAGACTCTGGAGAAACCTACTGCCCGACGGCCCTCGGGGCTGACTGGGTCCCACTGCTGACCTCAGGAAACTGGGTCATTCAGGATCAGAAGCACTCCAGACCAGCCCTCTTGTCATTTGTCATGACTGTGACTCAGCCAAATCTTCCATCCCTGCTTCTCTTTGGGTCTAATCACCTGTCTTCCTGTTAGCAACTTACTAATGCTCTCAAGTCCCATTTTCAATTCTGGGGAGAGAGAGAGAGAGAGAGAGAGAGAGAGCAAGAGAGAGAGAGAGTCTGTTTAGTTCAGCTCATTACCATTGTTCAAGTTAGGTTGTGTAAAATTTTACTACCAAGCTTAGTGACTTAAAAAAAATTTATACTGCGTATGATCTGCAATTTGGGCAGGGCTTGATAGAGATAGCTCACCTCTGCCTTACATGGTGCCATCTGGACAGCTTGAAGGCTGAGGCTGGGGCCGTCAGAAGGCTCACTTTCTCACGTCACAGTTGACGCTGGCTGAGACTTTTACGCTACTGGAAAATCTAATGGTTGTATTACTCATGCCTTTCACTTGCTGTACTCTGACGTTTCGACATCTTGGGATCTTGCTGACTCTGGCTGGACTGCGCCTCCCAGGGCTAGCTCATTCCTAGAGATGGCGAGTAACTCACCTGTGCGCACATCTTTCCCATGCAAACCAACCAATCCAGAGCTCATCTCCCCGCCCCAACCACTCCCTCATGAAGCTGTTACACTCCAGGCCAGTTTTCCCTTTCCCTAATCACCTCAGGGCCAAGTGCATCCCAGAGCCCACGGACGCTATTCAAACTAGCCAATCCTTAACCGGCTGAGGCTGTCTCACTTGTACCTTTCCATGGAAACCACAATAAAGTCTCTTGTCACAGCTTTCCTTTCTCTTAGTCTGCTTCCTGACCAACCCTGGCTCTTCCTTTTGAGTCCCCACCCCATGGCATGGTATACCCCCTTCTCTTGGGAACTATGAGTGTAACGAATTGTCTTTTCAATGGCAGTCACCCTCTGAACCGTTGGCCTCACCATATGTGAATGATAACAAAACCCATATTTTAAACCAATGGTCTCTCAGGTGGTGTGGGCTTCCTCACATCCTGGTAGCCGACCTGCCAGAGTGAGTGCCCTCTGAGAGAGAGCCCAGTTGGGTAGCCATATCACATTTCATGACCTAGTCTCAGAAGATACCCGGTATGGCTTCTGTTGCTTTCTGCTCGCCAAGGAAGCCGCAAAGTCCCGTCTAGGTTCAGGGGGAGGAGAAATAGACCCCACCTCTTGGCGGGGCATGGCAAGGTGACGGACACGTGAACAGAAATGTGGCGGCAAGCGTTGGCAAGTACAGTCTGCCAAATCATCCTCTCTGGGCAGGAGTCTTCGCGCCAGGCCACCTCTTAGGTCACCGGCCAGTCACTGGTTAGGCTGCTCATAGGTCAGATGTCCAGTCCCATTTCAGTATTGTCCTACCTGAGCAAGAGGAGCCCTCGCCCTGGGCCTGGCACTGTGGAGTGCACTATCCATGCCCTCGCCCCAGGCTTCCTTTCTTCAGGGGAGGAGGAATTTGCAGGACCACAGGGCATGTGACTACCTACAATCTGTGTACCCACCAGCCCTGTTTTAGAACATACTCAGAGCACCCACAACCCTGGAATTTCCGACCCAAACAGCTCTCAACCCACCGCTAAGATCAGTAGGCATGTCTTCCCTGGATCTGTTTCTTGAGGGCTGACCTCACCATTGGTGAGGAATGGCCAAAGGGCGGCTGTTTGCAAACATGGGGGAGGGGGGGGTAAGAGTACAGCTGGAATGGACAGATAGAGGAGAGTCCCCATGCACGGCCATGGTGCCTCACGTGTCGGGGGGAGGAGGAAGGCAGGCTGTGGACCAGGGGCTTGGGGGCTTGGGGATGCCCCCATGCAGAACGTCAAGGAATCTGATCACTTAAAAACTTAACTTGGTCTTCCAGCCTTGCGTTCCTTTGCAGTTCCCTGGAATGAATTGGACGGAGTGAAGCATGCGGAATCTGTGTTCTCTTTCCCCACAGATGTCAGAATTGGGTCTTCCCTTGTCCAGCTGGCTCTTGAGGAGTGGTGGCATTTCCTGGGGTGTAGAAGAGTGCCTGAAGGGGAGCCCACGGTGGCTGTAGGTGTGTCAAGCACAAGGGACTCTGTCTTCACCAACGCTCACAACCTCTCTGTGAGATGGAGAAATTAATAATGGCTTGTTACAGGCAGGACATGGGACCAGAGAGGCCAAGAGGCTCGCCCAGTCACACAGCCAGAGAGGAGTTGAGATGGCAATGGTTTCCCTCATGTCTGGGCTTCCTTCGGTCCAGGAAGCAGCTGCTTGAGATTACAGGGCAAGGCATTACCAGAAGAGTTTGCAGACCTGGATCCCGTGCCTAAAACAGTATGGCTCAGAAGGTGAGTGCACTTGATTTATTTGAGGAAGAAATGGCATCGACAGAAATCTAGGAAAGGGTTCGGGGATAAACATAATAGTTAATAAAGCCTCCTCAACCTGAGTGGAGACACATTCATCTGGGACAAGTAGCACATGATCAGGGACTGAAATGGGCACTTTTTCCTACATTCTGATTAACGAGGCCTGAGACCCAGAACCTGCTAGATGGGTGTTCGCTAGGTAATGGAGACATGTTCTCAGCTCACAACTGCAGACTGCCTATCTGTGGAATATTCCAGGAGAAATATGAGGAGATGGAGGTAAGCGGCAAGAGAGTATGACATAGCCCTAAAGTTGTGTCCTATCTATTGTGTCTCTCCTTTGCATATGCTATTCCCTCTGCCAAGAATGTTGTTCCTGCTCTGCTCCTTGAGTAACACTTCCCTGCCTCCCAAGGCCCAGATATCAGGGGACCTCCTTTTCGGAGTTTAGTATTCCTGGTATGTGCTCCCTTGGCCTTTGGACTGATTAATCTGGAAACAGCAATTGCAGGGTGAGAAGGGAGAGGTGGCACGAATGTCCCCTGAATCGGTCTGCAAACTGATTTAACACATCCTGGCTCTAGCAGATTCGGCTGCACCCTCAGATGAGACCGTCCCATATGCTGCATGGGGCCCCTGCTTCTCACCTGGTTTCTCCTTTCTACCCAGAAAAGCTTGATATGCCAAGACCATTTCCCTTTCCAGTACTGAAACACATTTTTCTTCTTTCCTAACTTCATTCAACTTTAAAGTCTCTTTTTGCCTTTTGGTTATATATATTTTCTTTTTTTAGTGTTTGTTTTATTTTTGAAAGAGAGACAGAGTGTGAGCGGGGGTCGGGGAGGGGCAGAGAGAGAGAGGGAGACACAGAATCCAAAGCAGGCTCCAGGCTCCGAGCTCTGAGCTCCAAGCTGTCAGCACAGAGCCCGACAGGGGCTCGAATTCACGAACCGTGAGATGGTGACCTGAGCTGAAGTCGGACGCTTAACCGACTGACCCACCCAGGCGCTCCTACAAACTTATTTTCTTCAACGGTGAGGTCCTGATAGATCACGAGGCACCGCTCTAATGGCTAAGACCAGAAACCAGGAAGCAAGGTTGCTTGCACCTCTCCAAAGGCAGTGCAGGACTTCCACAGGGCAAGACTGTCTGAACCTCAACCGCTTTTCCTCGTTTCTGAGAACAGAGGCTGATTCAGATATACACTGCTTTATTACTTATTATTACATAAGAGCCATCTCTGCAGCCTTCTTGTTGGTGCTAAGTCGGTTTAAAAGTTCCAGATGCAGGAAAAGCCTTCTCCAGCCCTAGCACTGGCTGTTGTCAGCAGGACCTCACTCAAAATCATGTAAATATCCAAGCCAGAGAATGCCCACTGGCAGCGCAGGCGTCCATGCTGGAGGCAAACCTGGTTGGTTGTTGTTTCCACTGTTGTTTGGTTTTGCTTGTACAGGGAAGACTCTCACAATGGATTAAAAAGAATAATAATTATAGGCTTAAAGAAACATTGCAAAAATAAAGAATTCCTGTTGTACCCTTCAACTAGATTCCCCAAATGTTTGCTTTTTATCCCCCCATATTATTATCATTTGAACCACGTGAGAATTAGTTGCAGACTTACCCCTAAACACTTCGGTGAATATCTCCTAAAAAAACAAGCACAGTCTCTTACATAACCATGTACCATTCCCAAAGCAGAAAATCAACATTGACACAGTATTATTATCTGATCTGTAGGCCTTCCTCACCTTTTACCAGTTGACCTGTTCCGCCATTTATAGCAAAAGAGAACATTTATTTTTTCTGGTCCAGGAGCCACTCTAGGATCATGTTGTCATGTTTCTATTATTTCCTTTAATCTGGAACAGTTCCCTGGTCTTTCTTTGTCTTTCATGATTTTGTCAGTTTTGTGGAGTACAGGCCAGTTATTTTGTGGAAAATCCCTTACTAGGGGTTTGCCTGTTGTTTCCTGATGATCAGATGTGGGCTATGCATTTTTGGCAGGAACACTCCAGAAGTATCGTTTCCTTACCGGTGTGTCATGTGAGGGGGCCCACCATGTTGCTTTGTGGCATTGGTATCATTCACTTCGATCTCTCGGTTAGGACAGCATGCCTAGGGGTTTGTCCGCTGCAAATTTTTTCCCTTTGTATTTTCCCCTTTCTAAATAAAAAGCATTTTGTGGGGAGGTACTTTGAGATCATGTAAATATCCACATTCCCGCCAAATATTTACCCTCTGTTTCTATCATCTGTTGATTTTTGCCTGAATCAGTTACTGCCATCCGATTTTCCTGGTTTGGGAAAAGTGGGAATTAGTTTAAGTTAGCTTTTGTGTGTGTTTGACATCTTCCCATTATTCTTTGGGCCCTTCTTTAATTTCTTTTCTGTCTTTTTTTTTTTTTTAATGTTTATTTTTCAGAGACAGAGAAAGAGCACGCTTGGGGGAGGGGCAGAGAGAGAGGGAGGCACAGAACCCAAAGCAGGCACCAGGCTCCGAGCTGTCAGCACAGAGCCCGATGTGAGGCTCGGACCAACGAACCGTGAGATCATGACCTGAGCTGAAGTCAAACGCTTAACCCACTGAGCCACCCAGGCACCCCTCATTTATACCTTTCTTTTTCACTTGATGTAGAGGCAAATAACTCCATTTCAGTTTACAGAGATCTTCCTCGTATCTTTCTTTTTTTTAGCTGCACTGCATAGGAGTATCTTAAGGATACATTCCTGAATAACTGTGTAAAAGGGTAAACGCACATATAGTTTTGTCAGGAATTGCCAATTTCCTCCCAGGAAGGTTGTCTCAATTTGCATTTCCACCAGCAACGTATGAAAGTGCCTCTTTCCCCACAGCCACAACAATAGAATGTGTTGTCGTATTTCAAATTTTTGCCAGCCTGCTGGGAGAAAAATGATATCACAGCATAGTTTAAATTTGTATTTCTCTTATAATGTGAGCTGAACATATTTTCATATGTTTAAGGCCCATTTAAATATCTCTATATATTTTAGTGAACTGTCTATTCATGTCTTTTGCCCATTTTTTTCCCTATATATTTTGTTAAATCTCACCTCCTCCATGTTTTAGAGCTCTTTCTATATTAAGGATATTGGCCCTTATCTGCAACATAGATTGCAAATATTTTCTCCCGTTTTATCATTTGACTTTGCTTATGGTGTTTTTTTGCCAAGAGGAAATTTTTTAGTTTTATGTGGTCAAATTTATCAATCTGTTCTTTATTGCCACCAGATTTTGAGGCATAGTTAGAAAGCCTTTCCCTACACCTAGATTATGCAAGAATCCATCCATATTTTCTTCTAGTACTTGTGTGGTTTCATCTTTTACGATTAGATCTCTGATCCATTTGGAGTTTATTCTCCTGTGGGGTGTGAGATAAAGATCTAGTTTTTCCTTTGTTCCATGGCTACCCTGTGGTCCCAATGCCATCTATTAAAAGGTCGATCTTTGCCCTAGTGACTTGAAATCTCAGCTTTATTGTATAAAAATTTTCCATGTGTATTCAGGTTGATTTTTTAGGCTTTTAATTCTGTTCTTCCGGACACTCTATTCATGCACCAATATCACACTGTTTTAATTACAAGGCTCTAAAGTATGTTATAATGTCCAGTAAGGCTAGTCCCTGAGCCCTTATTAAAGTTTTTTTTTTTTCCTGAAGTATTTTTCTAGATATTCATTCTTCCATATAAATTTTAGTATCGACTTGTGTAGCAACACTAAAAAATGATTTGTCCCCAAAATGTTCCTAAATTTTGAATTAGTTCCCAGTGTTTAAAATGGGGGAAAATATATGGACTTCTGGTTTCTCTTGAAAACTGGGATGGTTTATCAGCATGGGCCTTCTCTTTGCACACCACCTAATGGTGTAGAGCAGAGCTGTAGCTGCGGCCTTCACAAAGGCCTGCGGTCCCCGGGGCTACACAGGGCCCACCCCTCCCTCTGACCTCTCACCTATGACCTTCACACATAGAAGTTCCTTGTGTGGCCCGTGAGTTGGTGACACAGGCTTTAAATGACCACGAATGTTATATTCCATGACTGCCTTTGTCATCTGTTTCTCTGTGTGACAATTTTTTTGTTCACCGTTACATTTCCAGGGCCTAAGAAGAGAGCTTGGGGCATTGCTGGCACTTGGCAAATATTTGTTCAATGAATGGATTTTTACAGATGGGAAACAAGAAATGACCAAAATGTGTTCTCTCTTCAGGAGACCACTGAAAACCAGCACATATGGGTGGGTAAGTTGGCACAACCCTTACTGAGGGCAATTTGGCGATATTTCTCAAAATTACAAATGTCCAGATCAGTAGTGCTCACACTTTTACTTATTTCATTTTATTTTACTTATTTTATTTTGTTTTATTTATTTTATGTTAGAGAGAGAGCACGAGTAGGGAAGGAGCAGAGGGAGAGAGAGAATCTTAAGCAGGCTCCGTGCCCAGCACGGAGTTCGACATGGGGCTCGGTCTCACAATGGAGAGTTCATGACCTGAGACGAAATCAAGGGCTGGACCCTTAACTGACTGAGCCACCCAGGCACACTTCACGGTTTTACTTCTGACATTTGCCTCGCATGTGTTTGCACATATGCAACATGATGACATAAAGGGTTATTATAATTTGAAGAAATTACATTTTCTTCAAAGGGGGGCTGATTACATAAATTATGGCTTATGTATACATTAAAACAATGGAACACCATACAGGTAATGAAAAGAATAAGAATACTTTCTACAAGGGGTGCCTGGGTGGCTCAGTCGGTTGAGCGTACGACTTCGGCTCGGGTCATGTTCTCACTGTTCGTGAGTCCGAGCCCCGCGTCGGGCTCTGTACTGACAGTTCGGAGCCTGGTGCCTGCTTCGGATCCTGTGTCTCCCTCTCTCTCTGCCCCTCCCCTGCTCATGCTCTGTCTCTCTCTGTCTCAAAAATAAATAAAGACATTTTAAAAAATTAAAAAAAAAAAAAAAGAATACTTTCTACCGAGAGGGGAGAATAGGTATAGCAGGCTGCCTTTTGTTTATAAAGGGAAAAAGCAAAGGTCCATATTTATACCTGCTTGTAAGTATGTAAGGAAAATCTGAGTGCACTCAGAAGGAATAAACAATATGGTGGGTCAGGGGGTAGAGGAAGTATGGTAAAGAAAAGGAGCAACTCCTCTCTCCTTCCATGACCCTGAGGAGTAGGTTTTAAACCAAGTACTTCTATATGCATACATAATGTATGCACACACACACACACACACACACACACACACACGTGTGTGAAAACAGCTATTAAACTAAAAAGATAGCAGAGGAAGTCATCAGACCCCTGGAGACCACAACTATTCCGTCAGGACTCTCTGTAGGGACAGCCATGCGATGGGGCCACTCACCGGAATTTCATCCACTCTTGCTAAAAGATGATATATTGCACATGTTAATTCAATTTGGGCAGAAAAGGCAATGAGATATGTTTCCGGTCCCACTATCATGCATCCAGAAACTCCCAGAGAGCACTTTACAAATTGACAGTCAATAAACCATTTCACCCAGTGGAGAAACAGAGCAAAACCCAAGATGGAATGCTGATATTCATGCCACAGAGGACGCTCCTCCCCCAAATACTCCATGATAAAAGAGTGAAATATTATAGCTAGTGAACTTAGGAATTTAGCAAAGAAAGAATTTATGGAGTAACTATAGTTCTAGAATGATCGAAGTCTGTATCTTCTAAAATATTAAAATGTAAATTCGGGAAATCTGCAGAGAATAACACAGACCTTATATATTATATAGGGTTTGGCACATGGCATATGATCAATGTGAAGTGAATCAAAAAAAAAAAAAGGAAATGTATTAAGCTGAGTGCTATTACTCAAATAAATTAAATTAAATAGATGAATCTGTATCTCTCATAGCATTTATCAAAATATTTTAAATTGGGGAGCCCAGAGAATAATTAGAACTAATACTGTGGCAGATAATATTTTTGATGTATGTATGTCTCAATAACTTGCCTTTTGCCCCTTTTTGATTTATAGTTTAATTTTTTTTCTGGGAGTGCCAGCTTCTTTGGAGTTATTAGCTTCTTTTAAAAATAATTCTCAAATAGCAAGCTATTCTGTCTCCCATCCTTGTAGGCATCAAACAACAAGCAAATTTTAACATTCTCGGTGGGCAAAATACTGGTGTTTTGCATCAGTGTGCTACAGCTCAAGGTCATGTATTCAAAGTAGAAGAATATTAACTTTCAAAAAACTTTAGCACAAACCACCTGGGAATAATGATACTTGTGTGCAATGAAAAGAAGTTTTAGCACATGCGCACAGACCCGGAAAAGAATCTCCATGAAACAATGTAAGGTGTTTAGAATCAGATTATGCCTCTGATACTTTTCTAAGACAGGTTTCCAATGATTTTCCTAGTAACTGAGATGACATTATAGAGAAAATGTTGCCAAGAGCCACCCATTGACTTGGTTGTGGCATTTCCTCCATTGTTACAAAGGTGAAGAGTGAATCTCCGCCATGCTATAGCTTTGCAGGAGGAGTGGGGGAAATACGTTACAAAACCGCACAGAGAATGGCCCCACTTCAGTAAGGATCGAGTTCCCCGCGTCATCCTAATTTTCCCTTTCTCTACTGTCCGGCAACTTGAAATGAATGCCTGTGTTAAAAATTGCCTTTATATTAACATTAACAACTCAGGCAACAACAGATGTTGGCGAGGATGCGGAGAAAGAGGATGTCTTTTGCACTGCTGGTGGGAATGCAAACTCGTGCAGACACTCTGGAAAACAGTACGGATGTTCCTCAAAAAACTAAAAATAGAACTACCCTAAGACCCAGCAGTTGCACTACTAGGTATTTATCCAAGGGATCCAGGTGTGCTGTTTCGAAGGGACACATGCACCCCGGTGTTTATAGCAGCACTATCCACAATAGCCAAAGTGTGGAAAGAGCCCAAATGTCCATCGATGGATGAACAGATAAAGAAGATGTGGTATATATATACAATAGAGCATTACTCAGCGATCAGAATGAAATCTTGCCATTTGCAACTATGTGGATGGAACTGGAGGGTATTATATGCTAAGTGAAATTAGTCAGAGGAAGACAAATATCATGACTTCACTCAAATGAGGACTTTCGGAGACAAAACAGATGAACATAAGGGAGGGGAAGCAAAAATAATATAAAAACGGAGGGGGACAAAACCTAAGAGACTCTTAAATACAGAGAACAAACAGAGGGTTGCTGGGGAATTGTGGAGGGGGAGGGGCTAAATGGGCATTAAGGAATCTACTCCTGAAATCATTGTTGCACTATATGCTAACTAACTTGGATGTAAATTTAAAAAAATAAAATTAATATGCAAAAAAATTGCCTTTATAAGTTTACGGTTGAAGGGTTTTTTTTGTTCTTTTAAAAGCTGCTTGATTTCTTTTCCCATTATTCCCACTAATTGCATAACTTAATTTCTTTTTTCATGTTGCCCCTCAGCATTACTTTACTGACGTTTTAGGACGTTAAATGTTCTGCTACCATAAATACCAAAAATATCCTCAAGTCTCTGAAGCAGTCGTGAGAAAGGCAGTCCTGACTTGTCCTGACCAGCAGGGGGCCAGCCGGGAGCCAGATTATTTGATTTTCACCCAGTTAATTCAGCCTTTTGAGGGTGAGCTGGGCCTCAAAAAAGCTTCCCTGGAAGCTTCCAAATAGGCAGAAGCTTCCTTCCAGCCACCTGCTAGCAGTGTGCCTGCTTCCCGTGCCTCACTACAAACCTGTATCTCTTGGCTCCTCCTGTCTGGACACTGGGCTCTGCACAGGTTCCTGAATAATCTAAGTTTGCACCTGCCACTGGACCTTTGCACATGCCGTTCCCTCTGCCTGGAATGCTTTCCCCTCCTTTTCCACCTGGTTATTTCTCCTTCTCAATCATTTCTTCCTTAGGGAAGGCTTCTCTGCTACCAGAACAGGAAAACCCTTTTGTTTTATGTTATGAGTAACACCCTTTTTTGATATGATTATCTGTATGATCATCTATATGGTTATTGTGAGTAACCATAGTTATACAGCCTTCTCGTAGTTTGCCAAGGGGTGGGGTGTTAGCCTGGGAGACCCCGAGACCTATTTCTATACCCAAACTCACAAGAAACTTCTAGGCTGGTACTGTATGTTTTACAGTGGGAGCTGTGACAATCGGTAGTTTCTTCAGCGACCATGAAAGTGGGGAGCAGGGGTTGAGGCTGGATGCATCTGTTCCCCTTTTCTGTTCAACTTTGGTTTTCCCTGAAGTTAAGAATTGTCTCTCTTAATTTTCCCTTTTACTTAGTTTTCTCTGTACTGCTCACGAATTCATCCCCGAACTTTGCTCAGCCTGTTTATATCTCCCTTCCCGACAACCAAACACGTTAGGTGTCCTTCGGCACTGATTTCTTGAGGAAGCCACATCTCCAGAGCCTCCTGACTTGTTCAGTGTGGCTGGCCTCACTCTGTCGTCCACTGCTGGTGGGAATGCAGAACACTTGGGAAGAGTTCGGCAGTTCCCTACAAAATTGTACACACCCTTACCATACGATCCTGCAATTGCGCTCTGGGGCATTTCCTCAAATGAGCTGAAAACTTAAGTCCACGCAAACACCTGCACCCAGATGTCTGAGCAACTCTATTCAAAACGGCTACAACTTGCGAGCAACCGAGATGTCTTTCGGTAGATGAATGCATATATAAACTGTGCTGCATCCAGAACAATGAAATATTATTCAGTGCTAAAAGCAAATGAGCTACCGAGCCATGAAAAGATGTGGAGGAAACATCAATGCTTTTCACCAAGTGAGAGAAGCCAGCCTGAAAAGACCACATCCTGTATGCTTCCAGCCATGTGACATTCTGGAAAAGGCAAAGCTCGAAAACTTTCAGGAAAAAAAAAAAAAAAAAAAGCAGAAGGAAATATCCACAACCTCAGGAGAGGTGAAGAGTCCTTAGACTATGACACCAAAAACATGATCCATAAAGGAAATAATAAATGGATAAATTACAGACTGGGAGAAAATATTTCCAAACCACATATGTAACAAAGGACTACTATCTAAAATGTATAAAGAACTGTCCAAACTCTGCAGCAACATGTGACACAGTCCAATTCAAAAATGGGCAAAAGAGGGGCGCCTGGGTGGTTCAGTCGGGTGGGTGCCTGACTTCGACTCAGGTCACGATCTCATGGTTCATGAGTTCGAGCCCCGCGTCGGGCTCCGTGCTGACGGCTCAGAGCCTGGAGCCCGCTTCGGATTCTGTGACTCCCTCTCTCTCTGTCCCTCCTCTGCTCATGCTCATGCTCTGTCTCTCAAAAATGAATAAACGTTAAAAAAAAAAAAAAAAGTTCAAACATTTTTGTTTCTCTGATCCTGGTCAGGTAAGTCATCCCCGATCGGCACAATGTTTGCCAAAGTCAAATTTGTCTACACAGTGTCAACAGAGTATTTGCAAACACCAGCTAACAGACTGTTTTCCACTTCAGCCTTTGGAAACTATTGCAGTTTTTGGAATATCTCAGTTTTCTCTGAGATATGGGTAGAGCTTGGTCCAGTAAAATAAATAAATAAATAAATAAATAAATAAATAAATACATACATACATACATACATAAATACATAAATAAATAAATACATAAATAAAATAAAAGCCTACTGAAACCATATAATGTGTCTATAGGCTAGTACCAGAAAACAAGTGTTACCACTGTGGAAAGTAACCACCAAATGTGAAATTGGGAATCTCCCTTCTCCCACTCTCCCCACATGGCTGAAGGTTTTCCACACATGGACATTTGTATGGGAGACACATATGTGAAGTGAGTATTTCTTCAGAGGAAAGAAAAAGGAACAGTTTCTGTGAATAGAAACAAATCTGCCTAGAATGTACAAGTGGAAAGAGAGAAGAAGGCTATGCATGCTATGATTCCATTTATAAAACATCTTCTAGAAGATGTGGAGACAGATTAATGGTTGTCAGGGGTAAGGGACGGCTGGGGAGGGGTAGCATGAAGAGTCCTTTTGCGGTGATTCATCTTCGCAAAACATTTTTAATTGAGTTAAAATTGACATATAACATTATATCAGTTTCAGGCGTACAAAATAATGTGGTGATTAATCTTGATTGTGGTAGTGGTTATGTGTGTCTCTATGGCTGATCAAATTGCTGAAAGCTGCAGATCTCACACACACACACACACACACACACACACACGTGCATGTAGATAAAAAGGGATGAAATCCAAATATGATCTGTAGATCGTATCAGCATACATTTCTCTTTTTTGATATTGTATGTATTATAGTTATGCTAGATGTTACCACTGGGGAAAGCTGGGTGAAGGGCACACAGGACTTCTTTGTACTATTTTTCAACTGCCTGAGTCTATCATTATCTCCCCCAAAAGTTAAAAAAAAAAAAACAACCCCAATGACTTGACAAAATAATTGAAGCAAACACGACACCATGGTGGTAGATGTCCAGGCATTTGTTGTAATCATGGTTGCACTTTCCTGAAATATTTCCCAGAATTAAGACAAATGGCATAGGGAAGATATTTCTTTTTTTCTTTTGTAGCAGTGGATTAAAAAATACCAACGAGTTGCCCACAACCTTCTTATGAGTCAACAGGATGGCAATGCTGCAAATTAAACGTGGAAAAATTCTAGTTACTGAATTTAGTTCCATACTGGCAACTCAGAGCAAGGAGGAAAAGTTGAGGGGTGGCTTCGTTACAGGGTGGCAGTTTCTTCTATGTCAGAGATGGTGCAGGATGTGGAAACTGTCATAAAAATAGTCTTAGGAACTGGAGATTTCTTTATGCAGGAAAGAGACATTTTGTAGGTTATACAGCAGCTCTTTTCATATGCTTTGAGTGCTGTCATGGAGACAAAATAGAACTTTTTTTTTTTTTTAAGGGAGGCTTAGGACAGATGGTGGGGAGGGTTGGGGACACAGTGGGAAGAACAGACAAATAGACCAATGGGATAGAATAGAGACCCAGGAATGAACTCTCACACATATGATCAAATGATTTGTGACGAGGATGCCAAGACCATTCAATGGAGGGGAAAGACAGTCTTTTCAACAAAGGGCCTGGGACAACTGGATATCCACAGGCAAAGAATGAAGGTGGACCCATACCTCACAGCACATACCCAAATTAATTCAAAATGGAGGAAGGACCTAAAGCAATGAAACTCTTAGGAGAGGCACACCTGGGTGGCTCAGTCGGTTAAGCGTCTGACTTCAGTTCAGGTAATGATCTCATGGTTCTTGAGTTCAAGCCCCACGTCAGGATCTGTGCTGACAGCTCAGAGCCTGGAGCCTGCTTCGGATTCTGTGTCACCCTCTCTCTCTGCCCTTCCCCTGCTTGCACTCTGTCTCTCTCCCTCAAAAATAAGTAAACATTAAAAAAAACTCTTAGAAGAAAACACAGGACAAAGTGTCTCAACATTGCATTTGGCAATGATTTCTTGAACACAACACTAAAGGGACAGGTAACAAAAGAAAAAATAGACAATTTGGACTCTATTAACATTGGACTCTACAAAAACTTAAACATTTTATGCTTCAAAAGACATTGTCCACAGAGTAAAAAGGAAACCCACAGAACGGAAGGAAATATTTGCAAATCACATATCTGATAAGCAGTTTATACCCGGAATAAATAGAGAACTTCTAAAACTCAGCAACAACAACAACAACAACAACAACAACAACAAACAACCCAATTCAAAAATGGGCAAAGAGTTTGAGTGGGCATTATTCCACAGAAGATATACAAATGGCCAACAAGCACAAGAAAAGGCGTTCCACGTTACAAATTGTTAGGGAAACGTTAAGTCAAACCTACAATGAGATACTGCCATATACGCATTAGGATGGCTACTGTGAAAAAACAAACGAACAACAAAACCCAGAAAACAAGTGTTGGTGAGGATGTGGACAAATTGGAACCCCCGTGCATGTTTGGGAGCATAAATGGTGCGGCGGTATGGAAAACAATATGGTGGTTCCTCAAATACTTAAAAATAGAATTAACCATATCATCTAGCAATCCCATTTCTGAGTATACACCCACAAGAATTGAGGGCAGGGTCTTGAAGAGGTATTTGTGCACCCATGTTCACAGCAGCATTCCTCACAGTAGTCAAAAGGTGGAAGCAACCTAAGTGCTCTGTTGGCCAGTGAATGGATGAGCCAAATGTGGGATGTATATACAATGGAATATCATTCAGCTTTAAGAAGAAAGAAAACTCTGCAATATGCTACCACATAGATGGGCCTTGACGACATTATGCTAAGTGAAATACGCCAGTCACCAAAAGACAAACGCTGTAGGATTCTACTTACATGAGGTACTTAGAAGAGTCAAAATCATAGAAACAGGAAATAGAAGGGTGGTTGGCAGGGGTTGGGGAGAGGGGAGAATGGGACTTGCTTAACAGGTAGAGAGTTTCAGGTTAACAAAACGGAAAGAGTTATGGGGATGAATGGTGGTGGTGCCTGTACAACAACAATTTGAATGTGCTTAATACCATTAAAAATGGTTACGATGGTAAAATATATATTATGTGTATTTCATGATGATTTTTTTTAAAGCAAAAAAAAAAGGAGGCTTGGGATAGATGGCTGGGAGGGCTGGGGAAAAAGAGGGAGCTCGCAAGGTTCAGGGAGCGCTGACCAGTTGGGTGGGGAAATCACGCGAACGTTCCATCAAATGGAGTGTTTAACAGAAGCTGGAAGAATGTAATTTCAGGACTGCTGAGGAAAAAACTTCCATAATGAGTGATGTCCAGAATAGGTAACAGTTCAAAGATTCAAGTTTTAGAGGTAACTGATATGGGCCAGAGCGTGCTGCTAATGAGTGGGTAGACAAAGCCATACTGACACCATATGCAAGTATCTACAATTCAGCCAGAATCACTCAACCAGATGTTCCTGAATCCCCTCTTTGGGGATGGTCATGAGTATATGCAGCTGCATTATTCCCTGTGTCCATCTGCCCTGGGGGTCCTAGGTGAACATATTTTCTTCCCAAGTTCCCTTAGGCAAGGTTCTGGGATGTGGTGGGGTAGTGGTAGTTTGGCGGGCAGGGGGCGGGGTACTGCCCCACCAATAACCAGGGCTCTCTTCTGCAAGTCCCCTGTCTCTCAGGGCCCTGGTGGGTATGGTCCTCTGCTCCTTTTCTCTCCTGCTGGGTGTTGGCCCATGATCTGCTTAAATCAATAGCTCATCTTCTCAAACACACCCCTACACTGTACATTCCACATGTCATCTGTCAACAGTTTTGGACATGGCAACGAGAGCATCTTAGATATTTGATATTACAAATATCCTGGGGAAGTCTTACATGGAGAGTCCATGGATGGTCATCATTCCTCAGAAGAGCCTGGGCAATAGTCTGTCTTTCTGTTGTGTAAGGGGTCACTAAACGTTTTAATGATGAATGTATAGCATCTTAGAGCTATCTCTTGTCCTGAAAATACACGATCCCTCAAGAAAGCTATTCACTACTCTTCACTGTCGTTGGAGTTTGCAGTTTCTGTTGTTATTCTCATGTTGCAAGCCCCCAGGCTAAGGAGCTAACCTTGCAGGGACTAAGGAGGGAACAGAGGGATATGAGTTTTTCGTCATTGAGTACGAACACTCATGCACCGTTGATGAGGATGCAAATTGGTACAACCACTGTGGAAAGCAGTATGGAGGTTCCTCAGTAAATTAAAAATAAGATTACCCTGTGAACCAGTACTTTCACCACTGGGTATTTACCCAGAGAAAACGAACACACTAACTGGAAAAGCTACGCACATGCCTATGCTCATTGCAGCGTTATTTACAACAGCAAATACAGGGAAACAATCCAAGCATTCATCCATGATGAGTTACTAAGAAGAGGTGATAGAGATATATAGATATAGATATAATGGAATATCACTCAGCCATAAAAAAGAATGAGATTCTGCCATTTGCAACAACATGGATGGACCTAGAGAGTAGTATGCTGGTGATACAAATCAGACAGAGAAAGACATATACTTTATGATTTCACTTACCTGTAGAATCTAAAAACAAAACAAATCGACAAACAACAGACTCTTCAATACAGAGAACAAACTGGTGGTTGCCAGAGGGGAAGTGGATGGGGGAAGTGGTGC